TTCACGGTGAGAGTATCCCGACTATAGAGAATAGTATCTCTAAAAGTCATATATGATGGTGGCAGAGAACATAACAACATCAACACCAAGTCCTTATCTTCATACTTAACTTCAAATGTCTTCAAATCGAAAACGATTTCTTTTGTCATAGTTAAGTGATCGTCCAATGACTCACATTCAGACATCCGGTGAGAATACAAGCGTTGTTTCAAGTGTAGCTTGCTGGCAAGTTCTTTGTTATGCAAAGTTACTCCAACTTCAATCACAACATAACGACAATTCTCTCCTTTAAAACATCCTAAAAATTTTGATTTAAAAGATGTAGATGAATTTGAGATTAGGTTTTTAGATCCCTATGCTATTTTTTATCCTGTGTCCAAGTAGCAGACATCTTATCAAAGCCAAGCAAGGTAAATCTCGTGTTTCTATCCAACAACGAGATATCATACATCATTGGCGCCATGCGAAACAATCAACTTCGCTCTGATACTACTTGTTATGGAACAAAAAAGATACCAGACTTACTCTGATACCAATTGTTATGAATTTGAATAGAATGATAATGACGATAATGAAATAAACAAGAAGAAAATAAACACCAACATTTATGCGGAAAACCAATACGGGAAAAAACTAAGGGTAGAGGAGGAGAAATCCACTATAATCAATAGTAATTAAGTTTATAAGTTCTCAATGTACTTAATTGAAATCTAAATCGTTTAAGATGTTGTATGAATCTCTTTCTGTTGTGTTATGTTGTATTAATTTCTATACAAGCCGTGCCATATATAAACCCTAGAGAATAAGTTGTAGAAAAATAGGAGTCCAAAATCGCGTCAAAAAATAAAAAGGGGCTTGGGCCGGATAAGTCTCTTGTTGCATGTTGCTCGAACGGCAGGGCCGTGTCAGGCGAGCAATCAAGTCTCGGGTTGTTTTCGACAGGGTTTGCTCAAGCGTCCAGAGCTAGCGAAAATATGGTGATTTTTTCCTCTGGTCTATAATTTTGATCTCTTTAAAATTGCTTCAGTTTAGACTCCAATACCGACTAGAATTTGAGCCAAACCACAACAAATCTCCACCTTGAACCAAATTTCAACACAAGGAATTCCAAGTTATGACTCCATCAATAAACATCACTCCTCCTTTTCCAAACAAGCTCCAATTGACTAAATCAATGACAAACACCCACTAAGTTCAAGCAATGTTCAAACTTAGCAATATAAAGTGATTTTGTTATCACATCAACAAGATTATCTTCGGTATCAACTTTACTCACTACAATATCACCTCGAGCAATCACATCACGTACAAAATGATACCTCACATCAACGTGCTTAGTCCTCTCGTGAAACATCTTATCTTTACTCAAGAAAATTGTAATCTGACTATCACAAAATGTAGTAGACACCTGCAAGTTTTAACTAATTTCACCAATCAATTCTCTCAGCCACAGAACCTCCTTACATGCCTCTGTAATGACCACGTATTCTGCTTTTGTTGTAAACAAAGCTACTGTATTTTGCAAAGTAGCTTTTCAGCTGATAGCACAACCTCCAAGGTAAACATATACCTTGTAAGCAATCTTCTCTTATCAAGATCCCCTACTTAATTTGAATTCACATACCCAATGATTCCATATAAATTTCTACCAAAATACAAAGAAACATTAGAAGAGTCCCTCAAGTATCTGACGATCCACCGTATTGCGTTCCAATGTTCCTTGCCATGTAACTGCTAACTGCATGTGTCAAATCAGGTCTTGTACAAACCATAGTATACATGAGAGAACCAACTGCATTGGAATAAGGAACTCAAGACTTGTAATCAATGTGTATACATGAGAGAACCAACTGCATTGGAATAAGGAACTTAAGACTTGTAATCAATGTCTTCATCTGACTGAGCATGCAAGTTAGATGATAATTTAAAGTGAGCAACCAAGGGAGTACTGACAGCTTTCGCATCACCATATTGAATCTTTCAAACATCTTCTCAATGTATCCCTTCTGACTCAAATACAATCTGCCAGTCTTTTTATTCCTTAAGATTTCCATACCAAGAATCTTCTTTGCTGCACCCAAATCCTTCATATCAAACTCCTTGCTAAGTTGAAACTTCACTTTTCTGACATCTATTTTATATAATAATAAATATGTAGTCGATCCACTATCTTCCTTTTTAAAGTACACACAACTATCATAATTACATCTGAAGAAACCATGAGTAGTCATGAATGAATCAAACCTCTTATATCATTGCGCCGGCGACTGCTTTAGTCCATACAAGGACTTTTTCAACAAGCAAACACAATCTTCTTTTCTAGAGATTGTGAACCCCTCTGGTTGTTGCATGTAGAAGCTCTCCTCAAGTTTTCCATGGAAGAATGCTGTCTTGACATCTATCTGCTCAAACTCAAAGTCATTCTTAGCCACCACTTCAAGTAGAGCCTAGATGGAACCATGTTTCACAACTGATGGGAATACATATGTAAAGTCAATACCTGGAATCTGACTGCCTCTGAATATATAGTAGGCTCCTCAGTGAAATCAATGTTTTCAGCTATACTCAATGCATAAGCTACCAAATTTGCTTACCCATA